TGCCTATAGAATCCAATGGCTAGACTGTAGACCAGACATGTCAAACTCACGACATCACATGACGTCGCACAACATATCAGAGCTTTTTCCCATTGCCGGCAATGGGGTGGGCGTGGTTTCCTCATGATACGTTTGACATCCCTGCTGTAGACTGTCCTCTCTGTTGTTTTGTGTGTTAGGGACCAATATATTGTACACTCTTTATACATAACTGTCCCTGATTGTTCTAAAAAGTCCAAACATGTTGTTAAAACATATTATTAATTAGGAGAAGTACCATGGGCAAGTCTTTTGTGGACTTGCTAAATATTTCTTTTTTCCAGGTCATCTTCTTTTTTGAAGCCCACAAATATATTAAGGAAGAGAAAAGTTTTGATCCCATAGTTTGTAAACTGGTGGTTGAATTATAATATTTCAGATAGCTGAAATATAGCTGCAGATAGCTTTGCTTTTTTTTCAGGCAAAGGATAATAGCCGACTCTTGCATGCCCTGAAAATATTGTTGGATAACTTCCAATCAGAACTCCAAGATGATGAGCAAGAGCGTCATGATTTGCAACAACAATATGCCACTGACAAAGCTGCGTGGGAAATGGAATGGACTAAATTGAAATGTCAACTGGAGCAGGTATGCTTTTTCCCATAATTAGAGTCAAAGAGCATGACGCTGTAAGTGAGGTACAGATCCCTACAGAGACATGTGCAGGATCTGATGGTTTCATCAACATTTTGGAAACATGAAAGCCAGTTTGGTGTAGTGATTAAGGCATCAGGCTAGAAACCGTGAAACCTTGACTTCTACTGCTCTCTTAGGCATGAAGTCAAGCTGGATGATTTTGGGCCAGTTACTTTCTCTCAACCCTAGGAAGTGGCAAACAACTTTGAAAAATCGAAAACTGCAAAGATTTGTCCAGGCAGTCACTGACTTGAAAACATAAAATTAAAAATTAATTCATGGTACTAATTCTACTCCTTGGGATATGATATTGTATGTTTATTCTGTAGGGTCTCTGTTGCTTTTGAATGAGTGCACTTTCAGGTGGTATTTTTGCAGTTCTCCTGGACTGGGACTGTGCTGCTTGTGAGCCTGTGCTATCATTGGCATTGAGTAATTGAGATTATTTGTTTTCACATAGTCCATATAGCATAACAGATTTGGGAAGTGAGACAGCTAAACTTCTTTAGTGCCCCAAAATGTTTGCCTCAGATTTCAGACTTGTTTGCAGTTAATAACTGCTATTAAAAACCCTTTATCACTATACAACAAGCATGCTATGAAGGTAGGAATAGGGTTCTTGTTGGAGGTGAAGATCTTGTTTCCTTTTTGATCAGCTGCTGCCTCATCTTGGATTCTCACAAAGGCTGCAGTCAAAGCAGTTGAAAAGTAGCTCTGAGTATTTGGAAAATGATTAAGTTGGCTGTACGGAAATGTCTTAATGTAGAAATTCCTCTGGGAATATTAGAAATTGTGAGAGTGTACCAAATATAAGCCATTCAAATTGTGGGTTTCAGTCAAGAAATAATACATTTCTGTTCTTGAAAGTAGTATTTACAACTTATAAAATGAAGAGACTATCACATAAAATAATTTTTTTCAATCCAATTTTCTTATTGAGCTGAAGTTGTAATAGCCATATTCTTTTTATATGTATTTATAATTATGTATATTATTCATTTAATATGTACTTACATTATATAAATATAATTACATATTATTGTATTATTTTTCATAACATGCTATAATCAGTCAGGTAAAGAAGTTTGGGACTGGAAATAGGTTTACATTTGAATTGTAGCTCAGACAATACCCCAAAATAATTATAAGATGTAGTACTTTCTTTGTACTATAAAGCAGCAGAGTTGATGTACTTTCTGAGCCATGAATCATAAACTTCAGTGAGATTTTTAATTGAATTGCAATCTTAAGCTACAAGTTAGATAAACATTGTTGCCATTTTATAGTTGTTTTTTCAAATCAAAGTGTTTTAAATGTCAAAGCTTATGTCGAATCCTGTTAATTTCTATGAAAAACTATTGTGCCATTGGGACGTTTTGTTTTAATTTACAGCTGGAAGGGAAGACTGAAAAAGCACAGAGTCAAACTGGCCTTGATGCAACAACAACTTTCAAAAGAGAAAGAGAGGAACACAAGAAACTCTTAGCAGAGAGTCATCGATTAGTAATGGACTTGCAATGGCAATTTCAGCACAATGAGAAAAACTGGAAAAGAGAAAAAGTAGAGCTTCTAGAAAAACTTGACAAAGACCGGCGAGAGTGGGAGAGGCAAAAAAAGGATCTGCTCAGGAAGGTAGAACAGGTAAATTATGACATTCTGATTAAAACAAGATACATCTCAGGATGTGTGGCCCAAAGGAGTATTAGGTTTATGCCTTCAATAAAATGTGTTAATCAGAAAAGATGCTACCAGACTTCTTTTTGTTTGTTGCCATTGAAGACTAAGGCGGCTGTCTTTCTACAAATGAAAAGCACCCTTACTAGTACTTGGGAAATTTGCTGAAGATTAAAGTTCTTTTCTTTTTTATTTCATTTCTGTCAAAAATACTGTTTTGTTTCTCTCATCACAAGTAAAAAAGTTAACAGCAATGTAATTGTAAACTACAGCATAAGTATTACAGGTGTTCAGCTATCAGAGATGACAAGTGTATTTTGAAGTTTCTATGAAACCAGGAGAATTAGGATTTTGCAATCATGATAGTCTTTTGCAACAAAAGTAATAATCTCTTCTGCCATGTTAAAAATTAACCGGTGGCATGAGCTTTCGTGAACTAGTCTTCTCTTTATTAGATACTTTTTTCCCTTCATTTTATAGATGCATACTTTAGTCTCAGAAATGTTTGCTTTAAATATTTTTGTAATAAGTCCTTATCTTGGGCAATGTTTTCTTTGTTCCCAAATATAGTTATGTATTATGTTGCTGCAGATCTGCTTAAGGTGTTCATATTCATCAAAGAAAACCTTTTTATGCATTTCCCAGCATTTATAACAAAAAGTCAAATAAATATTAGAATGTTTAATTCTCATTAAAGTGCTTATAATCTAAGTATTTATTTATTTCAGTGATGAAACTTGCTAAATAACTGAGCCATCTTATATCTGATGGTCAGTTTCAAAAATATATGAAAGAATGGATTATCCTGCCTATAGATTATAATATATTGCTCTTCAAGATATTGTTATTTTACACAAATAGATGTTTTCACTTAGAAGATATTTCTATCCTGGATTTCTGCCCATAAATTATTTAAACTAGATTTTGTGCTCCTGATTTTCATAATGAATGTTCAAGAAGGCTTATATGTAATCTCCAAAGATTCATATGCCTAAACACTACTCTTTTATTTTATAAACACTGTACTTATCAATGTTATATAGATTTCTAGACCAATAATATAACAGTTAAAATTAATATATCTTCTTAGCTCCAGTAAAAATACTACAAAATCAATTTATATCTTATTGGCTTTAAAAATCATAATAAAAATGCTTTTCTGCCACTAGCTCACTTTTCCTATCTTCAAAATGTAATACTTTGCTTATCTTCCAATAACATATAAGAAAACTATAAAGAAGACTGGACTATGGATGGATCAGTTACAGAATAGCAGTTGGAAATCTGGAATTTTCCACATATATTAACAATGAAACAACATTGGTAGAGCTGGGTGTTTCAGATATATTTATTCCTGTAATTCAGCATCTTTTTAACAACCAAATGACACTTTTATGAAGTCCATTTGTGAATTCAATGTTTGGCTATGAACAAGGAGAAAAAAGAGGGGAATAGAATAGAATAGAGCTGGAAGGGACCTTGGAGGTCTTCTAGTCCAGCCCTCTGCTCAAGCAGGAGGACCTATACCATCTCAGACAAATGAATGTCTAGCCTCTTCTTAAAAATCTCCAATGATGGAGCACCCACAATTTCTGGAGGCAAGCTGTTCCACTGGTTAATTGTCCTCATGTCAGGAAGTTTCTCCTTAATCCCAGGATTGCTTCTCTCTTTGATCAGTTTCCAACCATTGTTTCTTGTCCTGCCCTCTGGTGCTTTGGTGAATAATGTGACCCCCCTCTTCTTGGTGGCAGCCCCTCAAATATTGGAATACTACTAGCATGTCTCCCCTATTTCTTCTCTTCTTTAGACTAGCTAAACCCAAGTCCTGCAGCCGTTCTTCATATTCAAAACAAATGGCAGGCAACATGAGGTAATGATTAAGGTGTTGATGCAAGATAGTCATTCACTTTCAGACCACTCTACTTCACGTGATTGTGAGTGTAAGAATAAAATGAAGTAAGAGTCCCATGAGCTTCTAGAGAAAAGGCCGGATGTAGCAAATCTAACAGATAATGACCCTGACAACAACATCAACAGATTCCAAGAGCATAACTGATATGTTAAGGGACCCATTACTTGGCTTTACTATTAGTTGGTTAATTATCACAGCTGCTATTTTGTCCTTATTTATTTTGTTGAGGTTTTTATTGTTTTAATGTTTTTTAAATTGTTTTGATTTTTTTTATATTTTTTTGTAAACCTTACAGCGTCACTTGGTGAGTTGGGCAGCTATAGAAATTGAATAAATAAATAAACAAATTCATAATCCTTAATCATTTTACTTCTTGACAATTTAAATCAAGTTACTGAAAAAAAGCGTAACTCATTTGCAGTAGTAGTATTAGCTTATGTATTGTTGACATTTTAAAGGAATAAAACTATTCTCTTTCTTTCAAATGTATGGTTATATTGTCTCCTGAGACACATCAAATCTAATTTTATCCTACCTGTAACTACAAGGTATTACACATTTCGCAGATCATTTTTGTTATTCTCCAATTATGAAGAGGTGCTTTTTATTATTCTAGGTTGTCACATATAAATATAAAACTCAATGCCAAATAATAAATGCTTACATGGGTCTTAAATTCAGTGTATTCAGTGTATTTAATTCAGACTAGTCAGCACTTAGACTAGTCATGAGACTCACCCTATGTCAGTGTCCATCTAGAAAGAGTTTGACTTTCCTAATGTGGTACAAACTGCAAGTGGAATGATGTCCAATATCCACTCAGTATGGTATACATTGCATTTGTTCCTGCATACTGTGAATAGAAAACATAACAGTCTAAATGGAATACTTTTGCCAGGATTAATTTTCCATCCAAACTGTGATAGTAGTGCCTGCAAAAAGGAATTCATTGGTTAGACTTTTTAAACCACATTATTTTTACCCCCTCCAATTGTTATCCTAAAGAAACTATAGGAAAGTGGCATTTTATTAATGCAATAATAGTAGTGCAATTCTTTCTAGTTTTATTCAAATACTTTAATTTAAACACTGTATAATTTTAATCTCTATTTTTATTTAGACTGGATACAATAAATAAGTTTCATATAAATAATGCTAATATAAAAAAGATAAAAGTAGCTTGAAATATTGAGGAAGACCTTGCATACTTTCTGCCTCTCTCTTAAGAATTCTTAAGTCTCTATATTAATATTTTGTCCATTATTTATTTCTTTCTCAGCCTCCAAAAGTAAATCCACCAAGGGGGGACAACATCCTTTCTGATTCAAAAGAATCTGCCTTTCATTCATTTTCACATCAAGGGAACCATCATGTGCCTCATCCATTGGGATCAAGGTCCTATTCTGATTCAGAAACCATGCAATTTGAAGATCGATCACTGTCTAAATTGAAGGAAAGTGACAGATGCACTGCCACAGAAAACTTATTTCTAGACACCTTGTCCCTCGATTCTCCAGATGATTCTGATGAACCACAATCTCAGAAAGTGGAACAAGAAAGATTCTTAACTTGTGTAAATGAGGTAATGTGGTTTGACTTTTATGCTATCAGTTACATGGTAATTAATACTGCTATCATGACAAATATTTTCATCAAATGCTTATAGTTTATAAGCCAGTGGCATCTTCATCATGATCTTTATTACCTACTGTGAACTGAAATCAAAATCAAGAGTGTGTAAAGCATAAGCACTATACAAAAACGAAGTAGTAACATAATCAAATAATATTTCTAAAACACAGTAGTGAAACTATGCAAATAATGGAAAATTAGTGTAATGTTAACATAACATTACACCTTCTTATATTGTTCTCTTGGCAGCCTCTTCTTGTGGATATCCTTAATGTATATCAATGTTTGAATATTTATTTTATTTATTTGGGTATTTGCAGCCATAGGCAAATAACCTAAATTAGAGTGAAAGGGTTTCCCAATAGAGATATGTATGTATGTATGTATGTATGTATGTATGTATGTATGTATGTATATGCATATGTGTGTGTGTGTACACAAACATATGCACATTTCACAAACAAAAACAAATGTTAAAATGTGAAGAATTTCCTGAATAATTTTAAGGCAAATTTCAGCATACCAAGAGAAATTAAGGGAAGTGATTTGGAGAAAATTAGATGGATCTTTCTTTAGAGGAGCTTGCCGTTCTATGGCAAGTATAAGCCCTTCCACTTGAAAATCTTACCTATCAAAGTACCAGGACAAAATGTTCTTCACAAGATAGGAAAATTTTCCATGGGGAACACTGACTGGGTGATCCAGTTCTTTTCTTATATTTCCATTCCTGGCTTGTAATGAATTCCACTGGAAGAGAAAAAGAACATTCAATAGGATATACTTATGCTATATTTTTGTAGATGACCACTTTTGGAGTAGAAATATTCTTATAGATGTTGACATAATTTTACAAATTGCCCACAAACTTAATCTGGAGACAAAGGCAATTCCTTTCTTGCATGATTTATAGGAGTCCATGCTGGCAATGCATCTATATACTATTACTTGTCAATTTCACTGTCATATTCTCAAGGTCCCAAAATAAATAGTACTTAAGTGGTGGAAAATTCCAGTACTAGCCATACACAGTAAACCAAACAATAAGGCTACCAGCCTAAACTTCCTGGTAGAATGGTGACTTTGTATTGGGTACTGTGTCTTGAGCTGCCTTTCATTAAAGCTATCTCTCCTGGCTAAAGTGAATGTAAAGAAGCTGGCTTTGTTTTTGAACTAAACAACCTTTTTGTCACAAATGTAAGTATTCTTTTGTTGACCTTCTGTGTGCCCTTATAGATCTTTTCAGACTGTTTTCTGTAAGGCAGTGCATCTTATTGGTCTAGTCCAGTAGTCCTCAAGGTATCTCCAGGACTCTTTCAGTGGGCTGGCAAAGTTAAATAAATTAATATTTTAAAATTTCTCATTTTTAAAACAGTAAACATTGATAGATACAGTGCTTTTTTTCTTAAAAAAAAAAAGGTGCCGGAACTCACACATGTCATACAACCCACCTTGCCTACCCTACAAGGTTCCATCCAAAAAAGGTGCCGGAACTCTGTTGTGGGCGTTCTATGAGAAAAAAAGCCCTGGATAGATATAACCTACACACTTTGCAGTCCTCAGTCATTTTTAAGAATATAAAAGGGTCCTGGGACCAAAATATGTGAGAACCATTGGGCTAGTCCTTCTGTCCACTGACAAAAAAATGATCAGATTGTCTATATGTGTGAAGCTTTACAGAAGTTGTCAGTTTGTAATTCAGTTTAGGCTTCAGAACTTGTAATTGATTAATTATAAGCATAAAAAGCATTGCTGAGTTGGTTATATCACCAACCATATTAGAGTTGTCAATCAGCTAGATTTTACTTGGAATCTAGTCATGCCATCCAGTAAACCTTTTTTTAAAAAATGTTATGTTTTCTATCCAAACCTAAGATTAAATATCCAAGAATTATTCTGACCAATTATTTTACAGCACCAGAAGAAGTCCTACTACTGCCTTTCAGTGTAGGGTGTTTTGCTGAAAGAGAAATGTTATGGTATTTTTTTAGTTTGGGAAAAGGGTGTTCTTTATTCATAGAGAATGCATTATTGTCACTCATAGTATTGCTGTGATATTGAATTTCTTTTGAAACAAAAGATAGAAAAAAGATGTTATTCTTACATCATGCATTTTTTTAAAAGAGGCATTATGTTATTAATACTAATGAAGCCCCAAATGTGTTTTGATGGATTATTTCAAATTCATGGTGCCATGATCCCTTAAAATAATGAAGCCTTTTGCATCTTCCCCCCGCCCTGATGATATTGAATTAAAGAATTACAAATTCTGTAATTGTCTAGAATTCTTTACATTTTTCTATATGAACTACTAAGGCTTCAAAATCCTCTCAGAAGCCATTATGTAGAAAGAATTTTGATACATTCTTCAAAGGATTTTCATATATTCGAACAATTAAATAAACTAATGCAAACACAGCCACTGATACACATATATGCAAGATCTAAAATTAACTCTTAATTTTACTTCCAGGAAGAAGAAATGCACAAGGGAAATCTGCAAAGGTGAGTAAAGATGAAAGAAAGAAATCCCAAATGAACTCTGTAATGTATTAACACATTTACCTTCATATGCACTGAGTTCAGATCTATTTAAAAATTACTTTTAGAATCTTTCCATGACAGTTGTTTGATAGCTGTGTATTTTTGTTATGCACAAGCATTCAGTGCTTAAAATGAAATCTGCAGTTTAAAGTAAGAATGAACCAGTATCTTTTAAAGGATTTTCATATGATTTCCTTCCTTCCTTCCTTCCTTCCTTCCTTCCTTCCTTCCTTCCTTCCTTCCTTCCTTCCTTCCTTCCTTCCTTCCTTCAGGGCAATGTCAGTTTCCTCCATGTCAGAGTTCAAGCGTTTGATGGACATTTCTCCCTTTCTTCCTGAAAAGACTATACTATCCTCTAACACCAAAGAAGATACAACACCTCCATTATCTCCTGATGATTTGAAATACATAGAGGAATTTAACAAAAATTGGGATTACAACACTACCGGAAGCCAGAGTGGAGCTTTAGAAAGGCCTTCAGATGCATGGGCAGAAAGGACAGAGATGGGAAAGGCAGGAAATAATTCTGTTCCAGATCCATTCCAGCCATCTTCATGGTACCTTACCACAAGTGTTACTATGACAACTAACACCATGACGAGTCCTGAACACTGCCAGAAACAATCACCAAGAAGTTACATTGTCACAGAAAAAATAGGAGTTAGAGTCTTCCATAGTCCACCATTGGTTCGCAGGTTTGATAACTCACTTGTCCCTGGCAGTGAAGGGAAAAATCAGCCTGAGGCAGACTTTTTGTTTCCCGTGACCAAAGCTAAAGGAAATGTGGGTGAGATAAAAAGTACTTCATCAGAAGTGCTTGGAAGATGGTCCTGTGACCTCTCCAAACATCATAATGATTTCCTAGAAACTGGCCTTCATCCCATTGAACATCCTATCTGTACTACGGTGGGTTTTGCCTCATCCTTGCACAATCTGGAGCTGTCCAAAAACATGAGTGATGATATGAAAGAAGTAGCTTTTTCTGTCAGAAATGCAATACATTCGAGCTCAACAGATCTTCAATTCAGAGACACAGCTTGTCAAACTAATGGAATGAGAACAATGGGGACCCAGACTACTCAAACTATCAATGTGGGCTTACAGACAGATACTTTGCGTGCGATCACTAGCAGTCCACATAAATGTCTGACACCAAAGGGGGGCTCTACCCCTGTTTCATCGCCCTCAAGAAGTTTAAGAAGCAGACAAGTGGCTACTGCTATTGAAAAGGGAAAATATGAACGGACATGTTGCTCTCCAAAATATGGCTCTCCAAAATTACAAAAAAAAGTTTGTTCCAAAACAGATCAGCCAATTAACCGGATATTACCAAGCACACCTCAGAAAGGATTTAGTGAATCTGCTTGGGCCAGATCTACCACTACAAGAGAGAGTCCAGTTCATACTACAATAAATGATGGCCTCTCAAGTCTATTCAATATCATTGACCATACCCCTATAACTTATGATACTTTCCAAAGATGCTCCAGTTCCAGCAGCCGGTCAAGATCAGCAGAACCCAGGCCAGAACTTGGATCTATGCAAGATGTGTGCATAAGTATGCGTGGCAGGTCACCCAGTCCTCTTCGTTTGGGTACAGAACCACAAAAAGATGAAACGGATGAAATTACAAGTATCAGGCAAGAATTATCTACTCCTCCAGGATACATGCTAACAGAAAACGCTGCCAGAATCCTGAACAAGAAATTTATAGAGAATGCCTTAGCTTCACATACCCCTCCAAGTCTTAGCAATGAAAATCATCATACAAAAGAAATAGTCAAAGTTGAACCAGGATCCATTGAGGTAAGAAGTTTTATCCTTATAATAGTAAAACAAATTAGAAATGTTCATGTAGTTTGTAAGTGCTGTTTAATACATATACTTACATTATTTTGACTCAAAAATAAATTGATTGCTATTGTGTATATTGTGAATTTTTGAAGAACCTGATAACATCATTACTTTTCAAATGGGTTTTTGGAGACATAGTATTTCTGTATGATAAGTCACAGTACACTTGAAGTTGGATTTCTAAAATGAACATAATTCTGTGAAAAAATATTTTGGAATTTTTGCATTTCTTTGCTATTGAATATTATCAGAGCTTCGTGTGGGTCCTAATGAAGCACAGAATAACTGTTACTGAACAGATAACGCTAAAGGTTGATGTTTGTTTCATTTATTTAATAAAAAAGGAATTCAACAATACGGAAAAATAATTATTCTTTGATTTAATCAATTCAATTACAGGGCTAACTAGGGTAATTATTATTAGCTCATTAACAATTAGAGTGATTTATGTATATAAATCTAATATCTTTGATTTTCATTATTGTGATAATGAAGTCCTCACTATACAGTTTGAAACCATGCTCTACTCAAAATAAATTTTGTAAAACTTTTGCTATCTGGTGGTATTTTTCATCAGGCTCCTACATAAAGCTCTGAGAACAATCAATTGCAATGATACATAAAAAAATAGGAAATTAGAAAAACAAATGAATACCTTTTCACAAGACTACATATGCCGATAATAGTTCTATCGGGAAGATAGCAAATAAACCAATAGATGGATGGATAGATAGATAGATACATAGATACATAGATGGATGGATATATATTGCCACTATTGCAATTTCAGTTTCTATTAGTCCAACTTCAAACATTTTTCACAGAAAAATGTTATGCCTAATTGGTATGGTTAGAATTCAGTTAGAATAACTGAATAACTGAAGGTTGCGTATTAATATCTATATAGCTTAAACATTTAATTCTTGCAAAGTTTCCTACCCTATAATATCCTTTACATGCTTTATATTTTAATTCCCCATTTTTATTATTAACACTAATTACAAGTAGGAGAGGGCAAACAGAGTGATGAGAAATGAAGAGAAGATTATGGGAAGTGAAGTTTAACATATCTAGAAGATCTGAAGTTCAGGAAAGTTCAATATAGCATTCAAGAAATGTTTTTTACTCCATCCTAAAATAACTTAGCTGCAAGGAATGACTGCCTAAAATGTAGAAGAATTGAACATGAGGTTACATACTGTATATTTGCTAATTTAGTCTCCCAAACCATTAATATTTATATAGTGCCGAATTCAAACAGTAGTTCACTGAAATTGGTTTAGGTAATACAGACAAATGTGGAGAAAGGAAATGCAAATGAACTGCTTCCAGATCACATAATTAAGAGGTAC